CTTAAAACCCCTTGTACTGGGAAATCAAGCAAGAAGGTTTCACTTTCAGCGATAACTACAACCACTCCAGAAATACTTTTGAAGGTCTATCTTTACTTTTTTTAAATTTATTCTAGTTATCAATAATGTGATCTTAGTATATAATGCAGTCATTTATTTGAAGGTGGATTCTTTTGTAACGCACTGAAATTCTAGAATAAAACACCAGCCACACCACATCCTCAAACAATGTCGAGCAAAAATAAGAGACGACTAAAATTCGAAGAATCGGATGAAAGTGATGGGGATGAGGAAGATGATGATGAGAAAGATGAAGGGAGATTTAAATTGGACAATAGAGAAATGAAGGTGGTAGAGAATGATGATTCAGAAGATGAAGAAAGCAATGAAAATGAAGGGAAAGATAACACGAAGAGGACAGAACTTGCTAAAGTAAGGCAAAACTGTTATTTTTAGTTTGGAATTGTGAAAAACAGCAGTTAACCGATATATTTCATTCAAATTGGCTGTTCATTTAGGGAATTTGATGATTAGACCTCATTTCAGGGATTTTGATTCAGCGACCTATTTTAAACAACTTTCATTACATCTTTAGAATTTTAAATTTCAGACAAAACGAGAAGAAACCGTCGAAGCAGTTAAGAACAAAAAGGACAAAATCAATTTAAAGAAGTTCCATAATAAAAATGACAAGGGAACTGAAGAGAAGGTAGTTGTTTCTGAAGCTTAAGTATTTTTGTTCGTTCTAATTTGAGTCTATTTCACGAAATAATTTCTGTTCATGGACGACATACAGTCCTGTCATTAGAGAATCAGTGACTTTATTAAATTTGAACTCTTTTATGTAGGCTGTGTTTTAAAAACCTTGCAAATGAAAAACTGCTATTCTGTTCAACACATTTTAAAACTTTTACTTTTTTGTTGTAAAGTTCGTGAGGACATAAAAGGTCAGCGATTTGTAGAAATATTTATCAATTCGGGACTACTATGCTAATCATACAGTTTAGTTACTCGTAAATGGACCATTAATAAACTATCATGAAATGGATGTGAAACCTATAACTTTAACCAAAATATACTTCTGTTTATTCAGTTAGCTTCGCAGAAGCAAGCGAAAGCGGTAGCTAATAAGGATGAGATGAAGGGAGTAAAAAGGAAATGTGAAGATGAACCACTGTTAAAGGTATGAGATTTATTAGTTTAATCTTTGCATTGATACAGAACTCATGTCAAACCAAAGTGTGCTTGTGAAATAATTCTGGCTTTCTGAGTTAAAGTGGGTACAAATGATGTGTTTAGCCGGAGGATGCAAAAGAAGTGATAAAAGAAGAACAAAAACGACGAGATGAGCGTGACAAGAAATCATTATTTGTGCGAGGATTACCCAAAGATGTAAAATTGGGGCAGTTAAAGGCCCTTCATAATGACATTCTTTACGTGCGTCATATGCCGCATCGAAAGTAAACTTTCATTAATTTTAAAGCTTTTCATTTTTTTATTTTTTAAAGTGTAAAGCTTTCATTTTTTTTTTTTTTTTTTGTAAGCTCACTTTGAGGAAATTCTTATCTGGTCAGTTTGTGAAGGATATATTCTTGAACAAGAAAAAAATTCAGCTTTGCATGGTTAATATTTGCAAGTGAAAAGCTTTGTGAAAAGGCTTATGAGGATATATCAAAGCAAACTGTGGAAGGCCGAACACTTACTGTCGACTTTTGTGGATCAAAGGCAAAAACACGTCCTCAAAAGGATAAAAGTCAATTGCCCATCAATCCCCTAGAGCTATTTGTTGGCGGCTTACCACCGTCAACATCCAAAGATCAGATGAAAGTTATCTTTCGTCAAGCGACCAATATCAGTTTTCCGAAGCAAGCGAGAAATAAGAACAAACTGTAAGTCATTCAGTTCCAGAATTTAGTCTTATTGAAGTTTTGGAAGTTTTTTTTTTGGTAAAAGAGTTCTACTGCATTCAGAATGTTTCAGTCCTCTAGCGGATTTGCTGGTTTAGTACTAAGAGAAGGGTTTGTATTTTTTTAACATGAATTTTCAGATACTGCTTCGTACAGTTTGGTGATGAAAAGGAAGCGAGAGCAGCATTCGAAAAAGGAAAGACACTAAAGATTAGCGGTGTACCGGTTGACGTCCTATATGCTCGGATACGCAAAGGTAACGATTATCATTGTTGTTCAGAGTTTTTTTATATAACATGTTGCCCACTTTACGAACCTTAAGTATTGAAATCGATAACTGAAACTGACTGTGTCATAATCAAACTGTAGGAATAACAGATGAGGCAAAGCTACCGAAAACGAACCAAGCTTTCAATTTGTCGAATGGAACTGCAACAAAATCGAAAATAAAAAACTCACCAAAAATGAATGAAACGAATGGCGATACGACAAGTGAAGGTATTGAGTCCTCGGACGAAGGAATTGAGGAAGTGGTTTGTTTTGTTTGCTAATCTAACATCAGTGTTGCTTGGCTCACTTGTTTTTTATTAATTTATTAATGTTCTGAAACACTGTTAGCTTAGATTTAAACAAATTACAACGCAATAATTACATTTAAATGGCAATTTCTTTTGCCTGCTGTTTTACACTGTTAATTTCAGGATGACTATTCTTCAGTTTCCAAGCCCAAGAAGGCGAAGCTGGTTAAAGCAAGTAATCCTAAAATCCTGCATGAAATTGAATCACTAAAACAGAAAAACATTGAAACAAAGGTGGGTGAACGTCTCGTATTTTTGTGGTACTGTATAACCTCAGGGAAGCAGAGTGTAGTTTCTGGTGGAGTGCTTTGTAAATGTATATAAGGGTATTCAAATGGATTCCATCGTTTTTGGCTTCTTGTTTTTTCTTTTATTTACTTGTGAAAAGCTAATCAAGCTAAAATGTTCATCTTATAAATTATTTTTAGTGCGCAACGGTACCTATGAAATCGATTTTGAAAAGTTCCACTGGGAAGATATTATCTGGACAAGGCAAAGCTAATTTAGAGAGCAAGTTGGTCTTCGATGAAGATGACAAGGATAATAATATTGGTGATGATGATGATGACGATGATAGTGACAATGATAATGTTGATGACGGTGATGATACTGATGATAATGATGAGGAGGGGGAGCAAGATGATGATGATGATGAGGAGGAGGAGGATGATGATGATGATGATGATGATGATGATGATGAAGAGGAGGAGGAGGATGATGGGAATATGGAAGATAGTGATGGAAGCAATTAAGTGGTAGCTTTCGTTATGAAGGGTGAGGTGAATTATAAAAGTACTTTTCTATGATTTGTTTGGACTTCCATTATGTAGTGAGAAAACAATGTAGAATCGACTAAATGGCTGAAGTGTTAGGATGCATTTTGAAATTGGGTGAAATAATGATTACTTCGTTTGTGTTTCCTAGAGCGCGGTGAGGATGGGACTTCTTTGTGTTTTGTTCAACCTAGTGAATTTAATGGTACTTGATCATAATATTTCCTGTGCATCTCACATCCTCCATAAATCCGCTGCTCAATATTTGCTGTTTGATTCAGAGCCGTTTTTTATTCTCACTCATATTACGTGGTATTTTGTCATATTTGTTGCTGCATGTTGAAGATAGATTCTGATACTTTGTTGATATTTGAGCTCATGTTCCTTTTATTTCGACAAAGTAAGGGATCATCCATTTGTGCATTGGATATTTTAGATGGAATTCAGCTGTGGAGCTAAGTGTTTTCAATTTTGTTCGTGTTAATGCTGAGTTTAATGAGGCAAGTCTTAGGGTTTGATGGAGTTGCAAAGTGCCTAGTGGAGAAAAGAGGAAGAAGTTCGTACTAATATCATGATTCTACTGAAGTCCCTTCGGGATGTCTAAAGTTGAGGATGTCTGTGAGGGTTTATTTTCATTTCCAATAGTGAGAGACTTCGAATTAGGCAGATCTGGTTAAGGTGTTAGTACGGTACAGATTTTGGAAGTCGGATTTAACGGGGTTTGTATAGCACATACATATATGTTAGACCCAGTGATGTTGGATAAGACATCTCTTAAGGAACGAGATGCTGCGCTAGGTTACTGGTCAGTTTTCTGTGTGTAAGGGACTCGGAAGTTCGAATTGATTCGAGGAAGTTCCGGTCTTAGTTAAGGACTGAAGGTGTAATGGAGTAGGAATTATCTCAATGCAGTTGAAATTTCGAGATAGTCCCGATAACAGGGAAGATCAGTAGGGCGAGCAGTGTATTTTGCGTTTTTCATATATGGGTGACCTGGTACCAATGTTACAATGAGGTGGTCTGTGCTTGTTTTAGCTTAATTCCTCAGAAATGTTGGGGGCGATTGCCATTTTGCAATGTGATTTCTATCGTTTGCAAGCTTGAAATTAGAGCTTTTTATGTATTTCTCCGGCAGTTAATTTATGCCCGAGTTTGAAAGACATCTGCATCGAGGTTGATATGCAGTACTACATTGTTGCTTTTTCCAGTGCTTTCACAGGTTCGCTTTGATTTGTCCATACAGCTTTCACGGCTCTCGTTTTAGCCGTTTGATTTTGCACGTGTACTAACGTTTAACGGTTTGGAGAGCATACAATGGAAACAGTTTTAGCATCGAGGATAAAGACGCATTAACTTCCATCCCACTGGTAGTGCCAAAGTTCATATTCTGGGTTAACCCACGATGGCATGAAAATACATGTATAAACCCGGTTGTTCTGCCTATAGCGAGGGACCGGATTTTCTGAGAAGTACTAATCACTGGTGTACAAATGGGACATGGGAGTGTTTGTGAGAGAAGCTTTGAAATCAGACTTTCGTCTTTTGGTTTTATTTTATCTTATTTACCGTTGGTAACATCTCGATGTAAAAGATTTGACGAAATAACGGTATGATGGGGTTAATGCTTTTCATTGGTTGGATAAATGTGGATCTAAATGAATGTTATATGTATTAAGATGCTTCGTGATCACGGTAAGCAGATTTTGTGGATAAAAACTCTACGAAAATGATTGCCAGTACGGTTAAGACATAATTGGTTTTATTGACTTTGGAATTATTCCTGCTTTTGTTGTATTTCTGAAAATTCGATGCTGATCGGTGACTCTTTGTGCAAGACGAGATGCAGAGGCCTGCCTTGTAAATAAAATCATCGATTTGCATCGGCGATAAGAGTTCTCTCCTACTGACTGCAATGGTAGTATGTGAAGGGTACTTGACTTACGTTGTACCACTGTGGTGTTGTTCATCACTATCGAGGAATTGTTACCGGCCGACCGGTACAGTTTTCCTGCATTACGCGCTCTGCTGATGACTTCTTTGACACTATTCAGTGTCAGCCGTTGTACACTTAAGGATTTTGTGTCGATATGACGGGACTGTTGTCCAAGAAAACCTTGACCATAGCTTATATCACTCATGCTGGTCATTGCTTTCGCTGGAACATTTCCATTTTTTTTTCGTTCATCATGGATAGTTTCAGTCGAATTTGCCTTGCAGTATTATTTATGTTTCAGTCGTTATTAATGCAGGCCAGAGATTGCAAGTGTCATCGTCTGGCAGTTAGTCTTAACGAAACATTAAACAGCATAAATTTTGAAGCCGACTTTCGAAAAGCTGTTCAGTCGTTGACTGCTGTAAGTAACCGCTCTGATCAATTATCCGTTTCTCTACTCCATGAGCTTTTTCTATTGATTATCAGGACTGAACGTACACTACAAGTAATTATGGTTATACCTTGTGATGTTATAGGAAGAATGTGCTAAGGCTGCAAGATTTCGTTATAAGGATGATACGCTTGCTTCTATATTAGGACGTCTTTTTCTTCGACAGGTTTTTTCATTTAATTTGTTTATAGGTGTTTTATTTCAGATTTAGCAGTTTCAGTTGGTCCTCAGTTTTTTTTGTCACTATATATAGAGACACATATGTAAGAACATATATATATATATATATATATACAAGAGGACCCTTTAAGTTTCTAAATAATATTATGTAGGCCACAAGGCGCTTGTCAAATGTGGAATGGAGTACGATTGAATTTGGACGAACAGAAAAAGGAAAGCCATATCTCATAAATCCAAGTAATACGAAGTATGGCTTCAATGTGTCACACCAGGGAGATTATGTAGCATTCGCTAGTAGCTGTTCGCCGAAAGTAAGTAATATTTGAGGTTTCCTTATTTGAGAAAAAAAAAATCATTTATCGCTGAGTGCGTTATATTTTTAATATATTTTCGTAATGAGAACGCTTCAACAGCCCGTTCGTTATATGCTTTTGGGAAAAACATGCTGAATTCATCATTTCAAAATAACGGATTGATGAGAACAATTTTCAGGTTGGTATAGATTGCATGCGGTTGGATAAAGAAAGAAATAATAAATCTGCTGATGATTATATCACATCAATGGCAAAATCAGCTGGTCCGGAAGAGTTAAGAATGATGAGGACCCAAGCAACTGATCAAATGAAAATGATTTATTTTTATCGGTACTGGTGCTTGAAGGAAGCAGTCCTTAAAGTTCGTGTAGAAATTGGTGCCTTAGATGATAATATCATATCATGAGAATCCGAAGTTCCTAAGTTTACCTGAAGCTTTATAGGATCTCGAGAGTATGGAGCATCTCATAAGATTTATACGATCTTCTAAAATCTTCTAATTGCTAATATTTCCTCAATATTAAAGTTATTTAAAAAAAAAAATGCTTTTTGCATATATTTTGAAATTCCAGTGAGCTACCGGATTTTTTTTTAGGCAACCGGAGAGGGATTACTGTCAGACTTAAGCCGACTGAATTTCCATATTGAACCGAGAGAACGGTATCGACCGAGGTGTTTCATTACATCAACCACTGTATCACTGGACGGTAAATTGCAAGACGAATGGATTTTAGAAGAAACATTCATCGACGAAATGCACAATGCTGCGGCAGGTTTTTTACATGTTTTTTTTCCTTCTTAAAAGTCATAAAATCATAAAGTCATAACACTCTCCATCTACCCACTTAACCACCTGCATTGCCTGAGAACTGTTTTTTAAAGACATTTAAATGAAGTTGGTTTTAGGTCTGTCGTGAGAAGCGGCTGCCAAACTATTGTCTGTATTCCGTAAATCCTGACACACGAATATACTTTGGTCTTGTCGATACCACTTTCTTACTCGAAGGCGCTACTATTTTAAATCATCTACCTGAGGACGGTGTTGCTGAATGGGTTAATTTTAACGCCAAACCAAGAAAGCTTTTTTAAATGGTGGTAGAGAACTTATACCTTGTTTTATCCTGCAATTTGCAATAACCCACTTCCATCCAAAAGTCTTTTTCTTCTTATAAATACACATATTTAACTATTCATTTCTCCTAGATTTACAAATACATCGCCTGATCACGGTGCTTTCAATTTCTTTAATATACTCATTTAAATCCAGGAAAAGACAATGAAAGTGCGCTAGCCAAATGTAGTACATGCATATACAATTAAGTACTTGTTTGGAAACATTTACTTTTGCTCGAAAAGATGTTTCGTGAGCATTATTTCATGAAAGCTCTCACAGTTTAAAGTGGGCATTCCCTATTAAGTCCAGTATATATGCAATCTGGAAAAGCACACAGAAAAGCCTTAACCGGATAACAAACGCAACTGTTGACGGCGAAATCTTTGCAAGAACGCGTGCAAAAAAAAAAATCCAGAAGTCACAACAATAATAGTGGGAAATATATTAATCAACTTATACTTTACTGGAGTAATATGAGCTTACTTCTCCAAGATTACAATTTCAAATAACTAGGAAGTTATCCAGAAAAATTACATGTAGCTAAAGAACAGTAATTGCGACCCGGAAAACGCTTATGCGAAGATAATTTTGTCATATTGTGACATTAACAAGTGGAACGAATAAGTCAAATCAGACAGACGACATGAAAAACTACGCAACTGAACCAAAAGATTCAATCTGTTTTTTCAAATATGCTTCATATTGTGGGCTTTCCTTGAAAATTCGTATTTTTCGCGCTATTCCCTTGGCTGAGTCACGGAAAATATTGCCTTGATCTTTTTCCATTGCCTTAAAACAACTGATGTAACACTTTGGACTCAGTGTAAATCAAGCAAGTTACTTGACAAATAGTTGATTAATTCGGACAAAAAATAACTGTAAACGAAAATTACTAGTGGAACATTGTGAGAACAATTCTCTGAACTAAAGTGAAATGTAATGGTGAAAAAAAAATTACCTCGTAGTCTTCTCCATGCTTCTCAATCATGTGCACACAAAACTGAATGTCACGGGGTAAAAGTTTGCAGATGCGATCACGAACTGGAGGGACACGATTTACTTCATCCGTTTGTGATATCAGTACTGATTTTTTCTCAGCATCCATATCATATTTTGCCTCTTTTACGCAAGATATTGCAGTCATACTCTATAATTTAATTACTGAATTAGGTTGAATAAGGGGAGATCTGAACAATATGCATCTATTATGTATTTGCTAATGGTCAATTTTAGAAGTTTCGATCCTAGAGATGCCTGCTGTGGGTAATTCGTAGCTTAACAAATGTAAACATATACAATTCTTCGAAAAGACTAGTACAAAAGGAACTTGAATCATTATCACTTAAAATCGTAAGATGCCGGAAATGCTAAATTTTCTTCATACTTTCTGTGTAAAAGTTTTAAAATATTCCAGGAGTTTCCTTAATAAAGTACAGCAACGAACCTCGCTACCATTACCACTCAAGCTGAGATTTGGACCACCCAATGGCTCCGAATATTGTTGTGCCAACTTTCCCATGTTTATATCTAGCTCCTTCGGAAAGGATGTCTTCATGGCCATTTTTGTTTTCCACAACGTTTCTGAAACATTTCATAAAAATTCAAAATAGATCACATAACACCAAGTAAGAATCTCACATTTTAGTTTTGCTATCTGAATTTCTTAACCCGAGACGCTGGGAATTCCAGTGCAGGAATATGAGTACTATTATATATTCAAATTATTGGTGTCCCCATGCTTCATCAAACCATCTTTTTCATTCACCATTCGATATTGTTTACTACATCCGCCAAGTTAACACGTAAAATACAGTGATCCATTTATCTAATGAAAACGGCTATTGTGGAAAGCTACATCTAACAGCTGAAAGCTAAAAAGGTGCATTGACGAAGTGCCTAATTCATGAATCTATAACTAAATAAACTCCCTAAAGTATATACCTGAATGTTTTGGGATTTTACCACTGGAGAACATTATATGATCCATTATCTTTTCAGCCTTAAATTCTTTGCTCTCCTCGGTACAATTCTGATCCATTGCGAGATACACTATAGACTAGAAATCAAATCAGATTAACTCCATTCACTCCATAACCAAAGATAATAAAAAATCAAGTAAGAAATTTGAAAGAATTGCAATTATAAAATGTATTTGACTTTTAGTAAGGAACACTTCTTATTTTGCATGTGAAATTGACTAGCAACAATAACTTTTTGCAAACCTTATTTAATTCTTTAATCTTTTCCTTTTCTGAAACATTTCCCTCTTGTTTCCTAATCTGAAAATAAAACATGAGATCTAGAATTTAATTTTGGAATCTTAAATCTATACATGCGAATCTGTAATCTGTGTAAAGCAGTAACAGTACATTAACTAACTTCATTTATGAATATATAAGTTATTCCTTTTCTAACACCAACAAAAATCCAACAACTGGACATCAAGTAAGGCATAGGCAAGTAAGGCAACAAAATTCCAAAATAATAAAACATACACCGACGAAATCATGTTCTAACAAGTTAGGATCTGATCGTCGATTTTTTTTTCTCATCTGTTCCTTACTTGTTCCTTTAACTCTTCCTGCACTTCCATGAATGTCATTCTGTTCACCACCGTTTGCTGTCTGAATGAGTATTGACTGCTTAACCTTCATTTTCATTTCCTAATATTATCTTTTAAAACACATAAAAAAACACACAAAGTACTCAAAGTCTACACTATTTCAGCAAAAAACAAAACAGTGTTTCAAATTATTGGCTGCCATGTACCAACTTCCACCACAATTCTATGATCACTGTTCAAGATGAATTGATCTTTCCCGTTTAAAAAAAATTTCTTTGATCACAACCTACACTGCTTCTGGCTCAAATTCAGCATATGTGTTCATTTACCATTGTAATAGTAACAGTACGTTACTAAAAGAAAGCGAAAGTTCCCGAAAAGACGATGAAAGAAACAAGGAAACATCACTTTAACAACAAGAGTGAACCCGTCCAAAGTGAACGTGCACAGTTACTTTTTATCAATACATTTTCTTTCAAAAAATCGTAAACAGTGCCTACTTTAGCGCTACTAACAACGGAATTTTGGTCGACCTCCTAAATGTGATCATGTGCTCATCAAATTCTTGTGCATTAAAAATTCAAAGACTTCATACCATCATTGTTTTAAAAATCAAATATAAAATAATGTTAGCAAAGAAACTTATTTTTTGTTAATACAGTTTCAAACATGAACCCAATTAACCACTACAAAACTTGGTTTGGGAAGCGGAATCCTTATTAAAAATCATTTTTTTTCAGTTGAATTCATTTTTCTTGATAAATCCCCACAAATTATAAAATTTGCTTATTCATTGTTTTCTCCATTCCAGGAGCTCTGTAACTATTAAGTGATCTTCACGAGACCTCGTATTTGGCTGATTACAACAAAGATAGTCCAGTCTTAGTGCTCAGCCTTGAGTAGTAAGTCATTAAGAAATTCGATGTCGGGATATGTAATCGGATGTGTTTATGTATGGTATCAAATAGGAATGTGAGATACCAAGCAATATTTGAAACTTAACAGATTGCCCAAGCCTATAAAACGATCCAATGCCATCGACGAATCGTCGAACGGTCAAACGGCGCGAGATACTTAACATTCTCAAATATTTCTGGGTATGATATCTCAATATGCATTTATCTAAGAATGAGTCATAGGCATTCACAGGAAAGTGGAACATCCATGAATCTCTTGGTGCAAATCTTATTGAAAGAACCAAATGTAAAACCTGCGGAAAATATGAAAATGTTCCCAAAAAAAAAAAGAGGTTAGGCAATAAATGCAGGAATGAGTTTTATATGATGTGGACCTCAAAAATTTTCTTTATGTTGCTTAATTTGCCATTCTTACTCGTAAAATAGGCAGAAATAAATCATATAAAGTACGTTTAAATCAATGTGCTTAAAAAAGAAGTTAAGGACCACAGCGAACTTTAAAAGTCACCGTTGACATGTAAACAAAAATCCATGAAATGAAGAGACAAATTCTGCAATACATGCTGAGATATATTAGTATTCTACTAAAATAATGAAGCTTATCCTGTGAAATCTTCTGCAAAATTCTGATCAAGTAATCAACACACTTATAAACTTTTCCCATTTTCAAGTCGTATACCTAAGCATAACTTGTTTATAAAAACTAGTAAAACGTGTAAATTTAAAAACTTCACAAGTAGTTATAAGTTCTAACAGCGTACAGAAAACCATATCCGGGTACTTTCTACGTTAAAAAAGTAGGGAGGAAGGGAAATTTCCCAAACCATATATTATGTACATTGAAAAAAAAAAAAAAAATTAAGATCTAATCACTGACAATCTAATTTATAGGCAGGTTACAAAAGAATATCATTAACGCTTTCGTGAACTTACTGTGGGCAATGGACCATTTTACATTGATATTTGAAGGTACGGCAGTACCACCATTGGGAAACACTCTACGTTTGGTGAACAAGACGACAAGAAAGCCCTAGTAATCTCAGTGAAATACAGAGGAACAATAGCCATACCGACAGCAACAAAAAGAACATAACTGTGGCTGATGATTAACTAAACTTATAATGAAATGAAAAGATAGAACACTGTACTTTGCATAAGAAGTACAAAACTACTGGAACAACTGGGTCTTACAACTGAGTAAAAATAAAAAATTGTATCTTGTTATCCCTTGCTTTTTTAATGATTTCTTCGATTTGCCCTTTTTTCCGATGTTTTTTTACCAGTTTTGTTTACGGTTTACTACAAGCTAATGATAATTACACAAAGGATGGGAAAGCATAAGTTATGCTATAGTAAACATTAATAAAGAGTATCTTCAATATGCAATATCTTTTTTTTTTTCATAAAGTCCACACTTTTGGTAACCATCTTCTACTACCTATCAAAGTATTCCATATTTCGTTTAGTTCAGCAATATTTAAAACATCAAAAAGTTTTAATCAGTCCTTATTCGATAGGTTCATTCGTTTTGCGTTACTAGAAGTAGTATCCTAAACTAGGATTAACTTGCTCATTAAAAATTCCTTTCTAATGAAAAGTGAAAAAAAAAAAAACAAGAAATATCCTGGACAATCGTATTACCTCGAAGCTCCAATTTTCCTACCCCACTGCGAACATTCTGCATGATAGAAATGATACGAGGATTTACAGTCCTCAAGTGACAAATTTCTCTGTTCTTAAACGAAACATTGAATACTACCTTTTTTGACTGCACCAATTCTTTTTGTCCTAGCTTTGTTGATGACGATTGGTTTATTTCCTGCTCTTGGGTCGACATCAGATATTGTCGCTTTGGTATTGATTCAGTTCGTAACTTCGGGACTTTCATCGCTTTCAGTTTGTTTAATTTTATTGCAGCTATCTCTTGCTCTACCATATTTACTGCACGCTGCACTTGTTCATTCTAAGAAAGGATTTGAAAATATTCATTAGTGGAATAACAAGCAGGTTGCTTTTATGTATTTGGAAAATAGTAAACAAGCGTTGTGATAATTCACGAAATACCATTAAACGCTTTGCTTTCCTTGTGTCTTTCATCATCGAATTTTTAGCTTTAATCGTTTTTGTAGTAGTTTTGTGCCCAGCTGATGCTTTTTTCGGTGAACCACTGCCAAATCCTTCTTCCAGCTTCTGAAAAGATTGGAAGCTTAATAAAACAATAGAATTGCACTATATAACTAGCTCCACCTATACTTGTAAAATTCGGCTTTTCTGTAGCTGATATTTCAAGTAACAAACAAATCATCTTTAACAATGAAAGCTTATGAGAAATGACGAAAACCTCCTCCTGAAAAGTGAAGTATGAAGAAATGAAAAGTAAAATCAAAAACCACTCCAGACATAAGTAAAAGTAGTGTGTGTGGGACCGCTAAAATTTCACGAACCTTGGAGTAAATTCTCCGAGAATGCTTTTCATCAAAGATCGAACTACAGGCTTAGTGAACTTATAGCAAAACAACCTTACAATACAATTGACCAGCCATACAGAAATCCAAAGAGTAAAAAAGATAATCGTAATGAGAGACAAATAACAAATAAGAATTTCGAACACAGTTTAATGCAGAAGTAGCACGGGTGATGTTAAGCAAGGAAAGATATGCGAGAATAGTAGTTCGGAATATAGTTATAATAAATTTGACTTTAACTGCTGCAAAATAAATATATTCAAAAGAAAATGTTGAACCAGTAAGTATTATAAAAGGCAGCGGTTAATGGACATTTCTTGAACTTTGTATTGGCTTAATCGCAACTGTTATAAAATACGTGAATGAATATGTAAATGCTACAATCGCAACAGCTATAATTCTGCATGAATGTTTCGTTGATCATACTGTTGCATCAACAAAAGCGTAAAAGCATGGATTATAATACAATATACTTACAATTTAGCTACTTCAGAAACGATCAAAAAAGAATATAAAAACAGGCTTATACAGTAACATTCATTCCCAATATTCACGACAGTGCAGTTTGATGGGTTTTCATTTTAATTCGATTACCCGGAAATCACTTAATACTTTCAATCATATTATCAACTTGAATAATCATTTGCTTAATACTTAATATTATCAATCTGAATAATCATTTTTCAAACAATGCATCAAGAGGAAGAAATATCTGGTTGTCATTACCGAAAGAGGGTGTAAGATTTTACATCACTAAGTTGGCTAATTTACAATATGATGGAAATTTGTTCACAAAAGAGAAGAAAAAAAAGTTGTTTTTTATGGAGACATTTCCTTCTTCCTTCTTCATCTGTCTAAACATTAGTTCCAAACAATTCGACTTCCAATTTCTTTTCCAGACCCCTTTTCTACGTGAATACCTTCCAGAACAAAGTATAAAGAGTAAACTTCACCTTTTTTTTTCTGGTCTCTGGAAGTGTCGAAGTTGACGCTCTCTGTTTTGCTAATTTCTTTTCCAGATGCCTTTGCTTTCGCAAACGTTGCCTTTCTGCCAGTTCTTCCGCAGATCGCTACAACACAGAGAATGTATCTATCTAATAATGGTTAAGAACTTGATATTGTATGTATGAATCCTCACATTTATAGAAAAAAAAAAAAATGAAATTACCGAATATTTTGAAATGCTAAATAAAACCTACTATCGTAAATACATATCAATATTGTTGATAATACATGGTGTCATATATTTTAAATTTATGAGCCTCAAGCTATATAAGGGTTAGGGTACCTGCTTTGGTTCCTTCATTCTTCGGCGTGTTGGTTTTGGTGGAACAAGTGTATTGCTGCAAATACTAATGTATCAGTACATGACTTAATAAATTCTGTTTCGTGTTATTTTAAAAAGATGGACAAGAAAAGAATTGTGTGTGGAAAAAAATAACAGGCATACATTGTATGTTCACAGATATATCGTGCAACGAGGATAACTGTTCAAGCTGCAGGAGATATTTCTTTAAAATATTGCTATTCCGACAAAAAAAAAAAAGTTCTACTTTAATTGCTTCATAAACAAAAATTACTATGAATGTGAATATAATAGTTTAGATATCAGCTTATCATTTCCTAGGAATTATGAATATAATGAACCGAGCACAGTTAAAGAAAACTCATCTGCAGAAAATTATTGCAAGCATAAAAAGATTACCTGGAATGGTGATGTCCTGTGAGAATTGCATTGTTTTGCCTGAAATACAAGCATAAAATAGTTTATTCCTAACTGCTAAAAATCAACTATGAACTTCCATCTTATTAATTACATAGATTTTCAAAGTGAGACAAAATTTAATTCCAGACTTGAAATATGAAAACACAAAAATATTCGCTGTATTATAACCAACCATGCTTTTCTGGCTTCCAGACATTTTCGATATATTTTCCATTTTCCGGCAGCAGCATTTTTCAATGAGCGTACTTTTCCAACACGGCGTACTTGTTTCTGGGAACGCATTGCTGAGCTTGTTGAAATTTATTACCAACTACTATTTTATTCAGCGCCGCAATCGTTCTTTAATATTTTCATTTGCTTTAATAGTTTGAATAACTTGCAAACATTTTGTTTAACTGCAATGGTTAGTTCGTCGCAGATGTTACGCGTGTGTACGTTTCACATATTCCATTAGTGATTTGGACTTAGCAATAAACGATTTGCTATCTTAGCGATTCTAACTCGAAAACCCGAACCGTTAAATCGGTAATGATTGGTGTTCATGGAGCTTTTGACAAATATGAGTAATCAACTTTAGAAAGTTGAGCTACTTTCTACAAGTTCACTTTTTCGCCTTACTACTTTTTTATGTTCTAAGAAAGAGAAGGAATGCTCATCTCTGGTCTATGCTATCTAAAACTTGACTGAAGTTTAGAATCGTCGCAGAACAACAAATTCATTTAAAATGCAGTGGATAATAGCATAAAGAATATTTGTCGTTAGAGTATTTATTACATCTAGTAAATAAACGTCTAGTAAATATAAGACTTTAAAAAATCAACAGCAATTCACACTGTCGTAATGCATTTTACGAATAGTAAAAAAAATTTTGATGACCCAGTTATAGGATCACCAGAATCCAGACTAGATAGAGGAAACGCAAAATCCAATGAAGTAAAACGACTTAATAAAACCGAGCCAATCAGAAAAAAATATCCCATGACATGATAAATTTTTTTTTAATATTACGTAGCCAAAATATTGTCATGAATTCTGAATGACTTCAGAAACGCGAAAAAGTTCTGGCGAATATACGTGTCCTCAAAAGACCTTTAAAACGTATAAAGTGAAATCCTATGCATATACTCATTATCAATTGCTAGATTCAGCACTTTATCGTGGTAAATGGACAGCAAGTGAAATACTGTGTTTGGTAAATATACAGGAGAAAAGAGATATACAACGTAAAGAATGCAAATCAAAAGTAAAAGTAAGTAAGCAAGAATTACTTGACAATCTTCCTAGGATATGATTTCTGAAATATACGTCAGATACCTAAATCAGAAAAAGAGAGGTAACATAGGATCAAGAAAACTCATCCTTGAAAAATTCTTTTTCCAACACTAGCTCACACCACAAATCTGATTCCCCAAATCCTTCCTTCTTTATTATTTCTCTTTCTAAGAACTACATTTACCTCACTTCTACGAAAATGAACAATTCTAAGTCAAAAATGTGTCTTACTACCTCATATACATCTATAAACAAAAAACTGAAATATTTCAATCTCAAGTATTGAGAAAAAAATATATTTAGATAACCCATATGACAGAACGATGTATATATATATATATATATAAAAAGGTATTTAATATATAATGAATGATTAAAGAAAATAAAACACAAATTTGATGGTTTGAAATAAAGCATGTTTCTCACAGTTGTTTCAAAAGTATAAAAGAAAATGCAAAAGTCGGAGATGAGCGTTATTTTAGCATTAAATCATCAGTAAAATTAAAACTTAGGACTTCAAAACCATCACTCCCTGTGAAACAGAAAGAAAAAAAAAGTACAGAGATGTCGAAAAAATTGTATTTATTGAAAATATTATGTTCAAATCAGCAATTTGAACAATAAAAAAACTTCTTTCTAGAAACTAAGCAGCTGTGGTTTGACTCAAATAAATTTCTGGAAAAAGTTAGGAAGAGAAAGATAAGAGTGAATTTAAAGCATGAAAAAAATTATATATAAACATATTTCTTCGACTACAGCAGAAATAAGGAAGGGGATGTTGTTCTAGCACCTTAAATTTGCTCTTTTTCCAAGTTGTTTTATTAATGTAAGGAAAAAGTACAATATGTAAAGAAAAAAATGCCAATCCTAGAGTCATTTCAGATGATAACAAATCTGAATCATTATTTATCAATATTTGACTGAAAGCAAGAATTTCTCTTCCGCTGACATGCAATGAATTTTTCCATCACCCATTTTTTTATCGAATTGAATTCTCCAGTAACTTTGAAATCTGACAGGCTATTTGTCTTGTTCCTTTCATCATTGTACAAATGCATCTTTACATTTTTACTGTTAATAGAGTTGTGAAAAACCAATGGCTCATAGTGTCACAAGAGAGAGCAGTGTGAAGTCGAAATCGACACAATGAATGTTGGGAGCAATGAAGATTCACATACATACAGACGTTCCAATTCATTCAAGAAAGCTTATTTATGGCCTCCGATCATAAATATAAATAAATAAAATGACCAAATGAAAATGATTCAGTGTGTTTGCTACAGTGCAGAATGACAATTAATCAAAAGCAGCCATATTCTGGCGTCCTCAAATTGATAAAAGCGCAGTTATTTTTTAACTACAACACAGTTATTCCGAAAATATTTTCGTTACAGACATCCAATTTCTTTTCGGCTTCAATCATAAAACTATTTACTTCTAACACACACACTTGATAGAACTTTCGTGCATGTTTTTTGCATGTTATGAAATTTTTTTAATCAAGCCGTTACGGTGCACCTGATGGATAAAAAAAACCGGGAAACAAGAAATTACTAAAAAAACGGTAATGAAACTCCAACGAAGAGATTGAGTCGATGAGCATTTTTGACGAACAAAGCAGATGTACTACGTACGAAAACAGTACGTCCGCTATTTCATAATTTACTTCAAGCAAAGGGCAAATAAACAAATATCAAACATTCAATCGTGTCCAGAAAAAAAAGTAAAAACATATAACATGCGATAAAAAAATGTTAGATATTCGGGGAATAAGATTTAATTCGATGAAAAATCCAGCATAAAACAGAAATTTGAAAAATAATAAATCCTTATTCCTCAGGAGAAACTCAATGTTTGTTGATTATAAATCAGATTGAACAAAGACATGGGTCAGTCCTGAAATGAAACCATATGCATGGTAAAGTAACACAACTGGCAGTAGTAAAAATGGATGATCTGCATCGGATTTTATGTTTATTACGAGTCAAGGACAATTGTGAAGAGATGGATAGTTTATAGCATAGGGTCTTAGCTACAAATCCAGTAACCAAACAAGGCTGCATTCAAATTGACAAAAATTTATCATTGAAATCATCGCGGTTTGATATTCGACAAGGTCAAACCATTCCCAAACGGACACCCCAAAATGATTTGAAATTTGTTCGCATACATCGACAACTGCTCTCAGCAAAAAATGCGATAAAGAAATGCGAAAGGTGGACGGAAGAGAGAGAAAGAAAGCAGAAGGTAGGCAGAAAATTACCCTGTGAAGAGAAACTGAGACAATCATCAGTTGATTACATTTCCAACATTTTTGATTAATTTCAAACTGATATGAGGCTTGCCAGGAATTACTTTATGGTCTAAAAATAATTCTAAAATCAGTAGGTGAGAAAAGTCATAGAATAAAAATCCTTCACGGTTACATGTCACAACCGAGACAAAATTCTGTCTTTCTAATAGTTTGAGAACGAATCCACTCTAAGCCCAAGAAGAAAATGAAAGCTTTCTCAGCTTGGATCAGATGAGAGGAAAAGCTGTAGTACCAGTCGATATGCAATTTGATGCCAAAATTCAGTCTACTATTCGGTTAGCCAGGTTTATTAGTTTTCTGTTGAAACTCGAAACAACGTTCCCAATTAAAGCCCACATAATTGCTGCCCTACAAAAATGATGCAACACATTGCCACACCAACTTACATGCAGGCATGACGCCATCAAACACAAACAACTCAATGCATTTCAACAAATGGTGACGTTAAATCCCGTCCCTAATTGTTGATTCATATGTGGGAGGAAGTGTTTTCACGTTGACACCAGGCTGAGATTTCATCTCAAGAGCAGTCTCGCCCAAACATTGTGAGTGATACCGACTATCAGTGCATAGGGATCGACCCGTCGTATTACATGTTCCACATAATATGTAAACAAATCGAAAACAAGAACTAAATCACTGCAAATATCAATCAACACCATTTCCAAACAGATCGTAGTCTCACGTGATAGCAGCACAGGTGTCGCTTGGTTATGAGCGCAGTGATGCCCTGTTGAGTGACATCACTATCTAAATACCTGCTCAAGGTATCACTTTACTGAGTGGTTCGTACAGTAGACGAAAGCGACAGGAAGTGAGGACGTTTGTAATGAGGTAGAATCAAATACCCCTCAACCATTCATCGAATTATGTCGCAGAACTAAAGAATCACTTACGAATCCACCAGAAATTGTTGCAGGAAGGAAAGAATACATCGACAATGAGAACTGCAGTAAAAGCAACATCACGACGTTCTTCCAGACTTTTGCTACAACAATTCGGGAAGGAAGCGTTCACCGAACGTGTTGGTAAATATGAGCATATACACAGTAAGTATGCATGATATATATGGTGGAATAGTGGTATCACATAATCGATTGACAGATATGGAAATTTGCTAATAAGAAAGGTAGGAGCAAGGAAGAAAAGAGTCATGCCTATCAGTGCCGGGAATGATCTGACCAATTTGTAAAAAGTAATCTCGAAGGGGTGCAAGGCAAAACAATTCCCGACAAATGAAATGAGATAAAGAAAAAGAGTGCAGGGAAAATGCGATGATCACTGTGGCAGAATTTGCAGAAGAGGACAGGGCAGAAGAAAGAAGAGAGACAGTGGAGTGCCATCGAAGTGATGTGTTTCTTTTGACCGTTGCCGGAGATGATGGTACCTTTGTGTTCCCAATGTTTCCCCTTCAAATTATCGCAGTTGTGGACAGATCAACCTTTTTTGCAAAGGTCGTAGTGTCGGGAACACGTAAACCAAAGTACTAGATGTAAAGAGCAAAGATTGATATACTCCAGGATTTCTCTTTTCATATCGATCAGTACTTCCACTTCGTACGTCTGCCTAGTCATCTGAAAATGTCTGCATGTCAGTCGCTTTTTCTTTGCATTTTCCACTGCAAGGATATTTAAACAAAATTCAACTTGAAAAAAAATTCAACTTGAAAAGGTTGTCACCGGGAAATATTTGGTAT